AAATTTAATACTTTTTTCTTTTCGTCACAAGCAATTCTACTTTTTAATAATTTTAGTCACAATTTTGAGTATTAATTTGAAATTTGTAAAAACAATATAGAAGTTTATCTATATGAAAAACAGTAACAGATCGACGAATTACAATAAAAACATTATTTTCCCAGAATTTCGCATCGTTCAATTTTCAACGCGATGCTCTTGCGTAGCGCGCCGTGTTTATTTTGGAATATATTTTCATTTTGGTTTTCTCCGAATACCCGCGAAACGCATGGAAATGAGCATTCGTGCTACGTGTACGCAAGCAATTTACGAAAACGACCACGATGTCATCTTTTCTCCTGCTTGCTTCTGATTTACAAAGTGTTAAAAACATCGTTGGCGCCCCGCTTAAGGCTGTACATCGTTGTAAAATCTTGCGGTTTGATTTTGTTTTTTTTTTGCGGATAAATCTCTGAAAAACGCAATAAACCCTTTTGTTTCTTATTATTATAAACCTAAAGTCATGGCTAACTGGGACTAATTCTTGATGTCAAATATCGAGTCCTTATAGTTCTTATTAGGGATTTTTTTATAAATAAATTGGCAACGAATTCTTATTCTTATTAGAACCCAACTATTCTAATTTCTATGTTTCAATAAAGGGCGTTTGAAATATCCTTGGCGCTCCGCTTGAGGCTGTACATCGTAAAATTTTTGATTATGATTGATTTTGATAATTTTTTTTGTTGGATAGATCTCTCAAAAACTCACTAAAACCTTATGTTTCTAATTTTATCAACCTGAAGTCATGACTGATTGGGAGTAATTTTTGATATCAAGTATCGAGAAGGGCTATTAGGGATTTCTTTAAAAATAAAGTGTTAACGCATTTCCATTAAGTTCGAATACAGGGTGCTCGAAATATCCCCTAAAAAATCTTTTATCATTCTCATATACAAAATAATCGTTTTTTACAAGGTTTACAATATTTATTTTTTTAAAACCTTAAAAACTTTGGTCACTGGTCTAGTTACTTTTAGGTAGTCCTGAATATGAATCTGTCATTTTCAATTTGAAAATCTTTAAAAATACTTCTCGATTTTCTGCTTCAACAAGCTGTGTCAGTTAGCCATGACTTTAGTCGATGCTATACGAAAAAACCGTTACATTTCTCTTTAGTAAGATCTATCCAGCAAAAAAGAATTAACAAAACATTCTACAGGAGTAATGCTTAAGCAAGGCGTTAGGTTTTATTTTTATTTTTAAAGAAATCCCTAATAGTCCTTCTCGATATTTGATATCAAAAATTAGTCCCAGCTAGCCATGACTTTAGGTTTATAATAATAAGAAACATACAGTTTTAGTGCATTTTTCAGAGATTTATCTACCAAAAAAAAATCAAAATCAAACCGTATTTCAAGATTATACAACGATGTACAGCCTTAAGCGGGCCACGAACGATATTTCAATCACCCTGAATTGAAACATTTTAGAAATTGGGTTGGGTTTTAAGTACTCCTGAATAAGAATTCGTTGCCAATTTACTTTTTAAAAAATCTCTAATAATACTTCTCTCTTTTCTCTCTTTTGTTAAATAGTCTCAGTGGGCCGTGACTTTAAGTTGAAGCAGTAAGCAAAACAAAGTATTAGTGCATTTTTGAGAGAGCTATCCAACAAAAAAAATTATCAAAATCGAATCATAAATAAAGATTTTACAAAGGTGTTTTTTACAGTCCGCCAAATAACTATTTAACCTATTTTATTGCCTTTTTTTTGTCGATGCTTTGCAACTTTTTTCACTTCCCCTTGCTCATTGGCAATGCTAATGCAATAATATATATATATATATATATATATATATATATATATATATATATATATATATATATATATATATATATATATATATATATATATATATATATATATATATATGATGACACTATACTCCGGGATATCATCCGTTCGCTCGTTGAACTCCGACTGGAATCCTGCAGACGTTTCGCCAAAATCTCACTTGGCATCTTCAATGCTCGAAGTGTTTTCGGAGCGCGAGCATTGAAGATGCCAAGTGAGATTTTGGCGAAACGTCTGCAGGATTCCAGTCGGATGCAGGATTTGCAGGATTCCAGTCGGATGCAGGATTCCAGTCGGAGTTCAACGAGCGAACGGATGATACCCGGAGTATAGTGTCATCACATTTTTCCATCCGTGAATCAATACGTGAGAATATATATATATATATATATATATATATATATATATATATATATATATATATATATATATATATATATATATATATATATATATATATATATATATATATATATATATATATATATATATATAAATTGTGCACAAAATAAGAGTATAAAACGTTGATCCATCCAAAACATATTTCTGTAAATCTTTTAATTAAAAACAAATTAATCAAAAAGACAGCACCTTATCTACCAATATTAACAGTTCTGAGTAAGATGTCTGGAGGTGTGTGTTCCTCGAATATACATACATTGGATGGATGGATACACGTGTCCATCAAGTGAGGGCCTTTGCCTATTATTCCCTAGGCGAAGAAATTCCATTAACATTAATTAATTTTACAATTACTTCGGAGTCTACCTTATATTTTTAACGTACTCGCGTTTTTAAATGCTTACGTAAAAAGTGTTTTCAAACGTGATGCGTTTCTTTGAAATCCATTAACTATTAAACTATAATTTTTTCCCATGGGAGATCATTTCTCCATAGACCGAGGCAGTTTGTTTGCGTCACGAACGACTCAGATTAGCGATATACCATTGAACGGATAAGCATTGAAGTTTAACATTAACTGCCTTTTAGTTTTTTTATCTTAAATATATCAATAAAATATAATAATGATTTTTACCTAATAGGCACATAATGTTAAACTCGAGGTTAAACTTGTTTGCTAAACATGTCTCTTATCTTAAATATAAACTGAATCACTGTATAGATGGCAATTTATATTTCGGAATGCCTGAATATACCTAATTCCACCAAAACATTTTTTATAGGGCAGTTTTCGCTAGTTAGTTGATTAACTCTACCGTGTGTTTCAGACATTTTATAGGTAGACTAAGATTGCACTGGTCTTAAGTTAACATAATAGCTGGAAAAGTTTGTTTTTATTCTTCTCCTTTTTCTTATATTAGGCCTTCGGCCTGTACTTTACAACCTTTAGTTCTGCAGCGGCATTTGTGATGTACGACTTCTAGTTGTCTAGCCATCCCTGGAAGTGACGTCCTGGTGGTTTGACCCGACCGCTATCGTCAGTGTCAATACTCAAAATATATCATATTTTTTATCTATCTTGTTTACTTAAAAAAACTAAAAAGGGAGTGATGTCCCGTCAGTTCGTAGTGGGTCGATATATTGTCGTCTAGAACGCCATATTGTCCGCTTATGCGTAATTTTTCTTCCCACGTGAAATTTGGAATATTTAATAATACCAGCTAGTCTGCTAAACGATTTCGCAACAATTTCGCCATGACGCAGTTGCCGGGTGTCAACCATTCGTTAGCGCGGAAAAGCTACGTCTTCAGAGGAGGAACGTTGAGCAACGTTTTATTTCAATTTTATTCATGTTTAAGTACACACTAAACTTTGCCGAAAAACTACTATTTTCAATGAAACGCTCTGTATATTTGATTTTCTGTTCGGTTATCGTTTTGAGATTATCGCAATGTTTAGAAGAGAAATTTGTTCTGCGTAATACAGAGACGTTAAGAACTTCAATATTCCGCCAGATACAAAAAAATTCTAAACAATAATGATTCTGAAATAAAAGCAAATTTGGGTAAAAAACAGCGAAAATTGAATTATTTTGATATAGTAACCTGTAAAAAAATTTAATAAATAAAAAGCTGCATTGGTTTATTGCTTCAACTATAAGATTCTGTTGATATGTGAGTAGAAAAATATCAAAATTGCTAATCAGTAAGAATAGATGGAAAGGTAGAGTTAAAATTTTGTCTATCGGTTAAAGCATTGCATGAATGATCGCATTTTGTCGTAAAAACGATGACCTCTATTTAGCTCGACAAAATCTATCGATATTCCAGAAAATTATACACCATTTAAAAAGTAACCTCTTACTTATTTAAATAAAATTAATTTTTATCTTTATCAAGTTATTTTTGTGTCATCTTTGTATGATTCAAAGCTCTTATGCCTGTCCGACATATTATAATTACCATATTAATATAGGTACGCACAAATCTTAAAATATTCATTTATTTTTTGATTTTTTCCGTTTCTCGGGGATTCTTCATTATTCATTCTTCCAGAGATTATTAAATTCCCAGAAAGATGCCCAACACATAACGAGAAATAATAAAATAACGACCTTAATGAAAGTCAAAACACTAGTTAACCGGTACCCTTAAATGTGAATTAAATTTTCGTTTGAATTTAGGCAGCCTCACTGACTATTAAGCCCGGCCTATTATCGTCAATTGCCGGACCAGTTAGATCAAAGGGCTCAATTTCATCAAAATGAACAACGTGATATATATAATACAGGAGCTTTTAGCGGAATTTATAAATATTTATGCGGTCAATAGAAACGTGTGACCCGCGTGCAGCATGTCCTTTAGCATAAATGTGGATATTTGCGCTATATTTCATTCGGTATCGGTGGAAATCCCGTTTTACCGATCGCTTTTCGACTAAATGACGGTTAATATCGAAAGGAATCGGACAGTTTTGTATATTTTGGATGTAGTCTTAATATTCACTTTAGGAAGATTTGGATTGGAATTGCCGTTTTAAAATGCGAATTTTTCGATCGTTTTAAATTATATTTGAGTTATATACTAACCATCAAAAATTTTATTACAAGATAAAGTTCATTTTCAATGATATCCATCTCAAACATAAACTAAAACAACCGAATTTGCAATAAGAAAAAATGTTAACAATTTTGGCAACGAGTTTCGACCTTTTTTTTTTCATATCAGTCTGAAGACAAATGTAAAAACCGGAAACATCAAGTTGCATACTCAAAACACCAAAAGCATTAGCACGTATATATCCATAAAAGAACAAGAATATAATTATAGAGTAAATCGAGGAGAGATGGCCCACCTTTTGAAAAACTTTCAAAAAGTTTTTTATTTATTCCAAGCTTTGGTTATTTATTTAGCGCATTTTAAAGGCTAATCTAACACAATGAATAATTATAAAAAATAAAATAATAAAAATGTAAAAATCTTTCCTAGAACGTGAAAGAGAGATGAACCACCGACTATAGGAGAGATGGACCGTAAACTAATTTAATTCCTTTTTCCCTTTTTCATATTTGAGGAGGCACCACATAGTTGGCATGTGCTGGTGTAGGATGTGCAGAATTCATATAACCATCTAGTACACAGAACGCATTACAACCAGTCCTCCTTTTCTCTGTAAAGCGATAATTTTCGAAATACCCAACGAATTGGTTTTCGAAATCATCAAATGTTTCTCACCCACTAGACGAATCATCCACGCTTACATCTTCATCAGATTCAGATGGCTGAGGTGTTTGTTTTTGTCTTTGTTTCTTCTGGCGAATACGAGTCATCTGAGTTGGTGAAGTTAAGTTCCCCATTAGGCTAGTTCGAGCCTTCTTCATAGTTGATGTTATATTAGGAACAGGAGAGACCTGCTGAAGTAGTTTTCCAGGTGTTAGTTTTCCTTTAGGAGGTTATTTGAAAACCTCACGTTCTAACTGCATTTTGGAAGGGCCTGGTTGAGGGGAATCACGTCCCCGAGGAAGGGTTTGGGTATACATTTCTTGCGAAGAAGTTTCAGGGGATAGTTCTGCGATGCCAGCTTGTTGCTCAAATTCGTTTGTTGGATTTAGCGTAGCCTCGTCTGGTGTCTGCGTGAAAAAAGCATGATCAGGTGTTTCATCCAGAGTGTAAGGCCAAATTCCTGTTGCCCGAAAGGCCTATACAGCATTAGTTACTGTAGCCGATTTGCCCCAGGCCTCCCTTAAAAGTTTGCCGAACTGCAACCGATTTAGCCTCCTATACATTTGATCATTCTCCTGCATGAACCGTAATAATGCCCTTTAAGGCCCTCGAAGAAGGCCCGATGGACCGCAAAATAAAATAATGTCATTGCCCTCTGCGAATTGTAATGTCTTGGGGTTAGGCGTGGGAGAAGTGTGTCCGTCTACAATGAGTGAAACCTTTCCGGATGCTTTTCTTGGGTAGACGTGATTTTGTAGCCAATCCAAGAAAATGTCTGACGTCACATGTGCTGACTTTTCTGACATACGTACACGTGAGCCGGGTTGCATTCCATCAGACCATTCCGCTTTAGAACTTTTTCCCTTAAACACGCAGTAAGGAGATAAATAAACCCCTTCTGCGTTACAGAAAGCAACTATAGTAATCGTTTCCTCTTATTCACTAGGGCTAATTGAAGGTACACTTTTAGATCCTCTTTCAGTCAGCACCAGCCCAGCTCGGGTGTTTAACTGTAGACCTGTCTCTATATTTTAAACATACAAACCATTCTCAGTGTCTCAGAGAGTACATTCTCAAGCACACTGAAATATTTGCCTAGAATATCTTTACACATACCCGGCGCTCAACCTTCAGCTTTGCGAACTCCAATGTCTGAATTCCGCCTTAAAAAAGAATTCAGTCATACGTAACCAGCTTTACCTAAAAATTCCAACAATAATTTCCTACAACATTTTTAACAACCAAGAGTTTATTTATCTCACCATCTTCGCCATCAAATTTATGTTGAATTCCGAGACGTTCAACTAAATTGTAGGCCGTTATGCGTACTTCCTGTCTAGTCGGTGCGAAGCCTCTTTTTTGTAATTTTTTTATATGGGCAGCGAGTTTCGCCTCTACTTCTCTACCAAGCACGCTCCCAGGCCCAAACAGTCGGTTTTATTTAGGTTACTACTTGCAAGTCTGCGTTTAAAAATTGTTTTTGGAATACCAAATGAGTTTGCTTCTTAATGGCAGAAGATAAATCGTCTGCAGACCCTCTTCTCAACCTTGCGCTTGCGGGTGTATCGATTAGACATTATTCTGAAACAAGAAAAATAGGTCCATCTCTCCTATACCCCGCTGGCCCGTCTCTCCTAAAAGCGGAGGATAGATGGACCAGTAGGTGCCCTTATACCATGCCTAAACTTATACACCCAAAATTTACCTCAAGTGGATTAATTGTTTAACGAGAAACACTATACAAAATTTCTGTAATTATTCAATACGAAATTTTCCGATAACTTTGAAAAAACTGCACAGACTCTTAAACACTTGTACTACCAATCATCAACTAACCCTTTTTCATGATTCCACGCTGTCGAAGCAAGCATAATTGGTATGCAAAAAATCGCGGGTGGTCTGTCTCTCCTCGATTTACCCTATATGTCCAAAAAGTAAGGTTGTAGGTTGTAGTACTAGTAACTAAATACTACAGACTATGCAACCGTTCCAAGTTCAAAGTCCAAAGCAAAGTTTATATATAATACGTAAATATTACTTCCACCTGTTTCTCCCTTTATATTATTAACTGTGGTGAGAACACAAATCCATTTAAGGAAACATGAAACCCGGCTGTAATGGGTGATAATTGGTTCGAATTAACTATCGGCACATACAGCACGAAACGTTGAAAGGTATTTTAAAAGCAAAAAAGCAGCGACAACCGCTTATAAAATAATTCCGATCGCCACACATTGTAAATTTCAATTGCGTGGAGACTGAAATTCTTTATGGAAGCTATACGAAACCTAGAAATTAATGCAAAGCCATCGGCACACGAGAGATGTATTGCTATAATTGTTTTAGTTAATTAATTATAACCATAATCGTCTAATAATGGGATTTATTATCTCACACGTTAGCATTTTAATGGATACGGATTCAGCACGATTCTACGAATTTCCAAATAGCATCAAAAACTTGAACAATGTTTTTTAATTTTGTTACCGATAGTACCATATGTTCATACGAAAAATATATTAGTTTTGATGACTCTGATATGGTACTTACTATGTCAGCATTTTATGTATTTATTTTCGCAAGTAGGCTTATCCTCGAACTCTATATTCGTACTGTTAGCAGTAGAGGAACCAGAAATTGACTTTGTCATAAAAAAAAGAAAACAGTACTAAGCAATTTACAGGACTACAACAGCATATCAAAAAGAATTTTTACATTACTGATAGAAATTATTCTTCGTTGTGTTGAAAATAGTCCTGTATAATGTTGGATGATCTGTAGTAATATATTATGATTAAATAAATAAAATTCGATTATCTACCCACAAGAATCGAAAAGAAAAAGAAATGACTTTATTGTCAGACAATTGCAATATCGGGAGTATATTTTCGAAATGGATTTTAATTGAGCTTTTTAATGGACTCGCACAAAAACAATAAAAACTATAATTGTTAATGTTTGCGATAAATTAAATTGTCAACGACAACGCGAGCATAAATCAATCCAACTATCTGTACATTAAAATTAATTTAAATTTTCAAAATCCGCAAACGCTGCGGAGGAATCCCGAAAATAAATGCGATGCTACGCGGTGTCCATACAAGAGGCAAACACTGGGAGTTTGTATGAGAATTAGTAACAACCAACAGATCATTATTAAGCTCCCGTTTATATGTAACACATCTACCAGTATTACATCTCTTTCTTTCTTTTAAACACTAGTTAACTACAAGGATAAATTTATAAATAAGGACATTTAATAGTCTGATACAATAATTTTATTGTACGAGTAATAACCCTAACAACAAATAACAAAATTAAAATTAATAACAACAATTTATAGGACCGATTGACCTGAGAGGTTTCATTCAGCTCACAAAACTCTCTGACCGTGTTTGATTTTTTTGGTTGTTGTTATTAACTTTGTAGAACTTTTTAAGATGTGAAATATTTCTACGATATTCTGTGTGTACGTGGAACAGTATTGAACTCTGGTGTAATTTTCTTAGCCTTTATAAGATTTTTCTAATAAACCTTGTCACCCTACACTAATATTAATATCGTCGTTTGCTCTCGTTCCCTTGTTTCTTGGCCCATCTCTTTTGATTCAATAAGCACACTATTCTGCAGTTACAAGGCCTGCTGCTACGCGCGGCTCACTATATTTCGGTCGGCGTAGCGCATCACCAGTTGCTTAACTTCATTTTTTCTACTCCCGTCTGTAAAATCTACCTTGCGGATCCGAGCCACTTCAGACATTTCCGGGATTTTACCGCACAGGTTTGGGAACAATCGGATGTTTTCGGACCCACGCCTTGAATTTTGACGTTTGCCAATTCTGACGGTCATGTCGGTGAATGTATTCGTGTTGTTTTTAGAAAATGTGCCCAAAAACTAAAGGTCGTAGAAAAAGTATAGCATGCAACACGATCGGTAAAATTTTTAAGTCACTCGTTTATTAAACACCCGCTCCGCTCGTGTCAAATGCCGTTTACCACACTTGTTGCATAATATACTATTTTCCACTCCATTCTCTAAAATACCCAATTATACACCGATCTAGCATGCGCAAAGTGTCATTTTACCATGTCAGTTTTGTTTCCTACGCCTACGAGCCGCTTCGGACATTTCCGGGATATTACCGCATGGGTTTGCGATCAATCGGTTGTTTTCGGAGATACTTCCTTCGGCTTGAATTTTAACGGTCATATTAGTGAATGTAGTATTGTTTTGCAAATGAGCCCAAAAAACTAATGGTCGTGGAAAAAGTATATAACGATATCAGCTTGAATGATAAGTAAATAACTCTACAATAAATTTATAGTTCTTATCTATGCTTTAGTTAGTTCGTGTGGTTGATTATTTTTCGTTGGTAATTAGAAGTATAAAACAGCAGTTTTATACTGGTGGGTTGGAGGGAATGTAAGCGTAGAACCACATTTAATTTAAAATAAACTTTGCTTGAATCTAGTAATTTAAAAGGTCAAATAGCCCTACTTAAATCCAATATTTGAGCAATTCATTTGTTTTGATACGAGATTTGTGTCGAAATCTTCATTAAATAGGGCTATTTATAGTATATGAAAAGAAATTCAAATCGATAGAAAGTAATAAAAATTGAAGCTTTCGTTCTGCCACGCTCCGCTCGTCCAAATAAACTATTGATTCAAATGCCGTTCACTTGTTGCGTAATATACTATTACATATTATAAATACATTGCATACATATTACACACATATACATATTACATGATAAACGACAATCTAAGAAAACCATTAAATTAACCAGTTGTTGCAGATTTTATTAAACCAATTCCATTCCAGTAGGAGCTTTTACCATTTTATTAAATGTCGTTTCATAAAATAAAAATAGAGGAAATGACATTTCTTCTTTAAATAAATAAATGATTAGAAATAAAATAAACTCGGGTCCTCTTTTTAAGTTGACGACAATTTGTTGTTATTTATTACACTGTCGAAACAACTATTGAACATAGCCCATTTAGTGCGCAGCTCGTGTACCTAAATTGTTTTGACTTCGTAAATTGTAATTATTTTTATTGCAATGGTGATTTGGAAAAATTTAAAAAGTAAATTATATTTTGGTTGTCCTGACAAGTGATGTGATTTCAAAATTTTATGACTCGTCAGTGCTTTCTCAGATCAACTATGGCGATGTAGTTTACACACGTTCCATACCACAGACTTCATAAATTTTTTATACAGATTTGAAGATAATGACGTTCCCCGTGAATCTGACTTTAATACTTAACGGTTGCTTAAATGCACACAACAGATAATTTCACATTCTAAATTTTTCATTTCATTTCACATAATGTTTCTAGGTCTATCGTAGTACAACTGAGCCATCTTAAGTGGCTGAAAAATTATTTTCGAAAATTAGGTAGATAAAACACAGTGATCCCAGGAAAGAACGTAGTGGCCGGCGCATTTACATTCTACATTAGGAACGGTTTTGATTTGAGTATGCGAATTCATGGAACTATTTTTGATAATTGTAGAGTAATTATCTAGCTTTACATTTGCTTATCCGGTTTTACGTGAAACATTTTCCGAATGTAATTTACCATTCCTAGAAATTTGCTGTTAAAAGGGCAACGAGTCTACCGGTACCGACTGTTATACGTAACTGTAACCTGTGAAGACATTAACATAATACTGTTTCCGGAATATTTTGGATTTGTGCGGACCGGAAGGAACGTGGACGTGCCGTTGACCTGAGAATTTCCTCGTAAAAATTACAGTCAGTATACCGGGAAATTGGGTGCTTACATTTAAACGAGATGCTCAATTGGAGAAATATTTGGCTAGTAAGTTTTTACCGTTGCCTATTATCAATATTTTACTTATCAAATATTTTTATATTTCGATTAACAAGTGCTTCTCGGAAAAAAAGTCGCCTGCCCGCTTCTCGTTTAAACAGAAACAATGTGCATTGTTCACATAGAACGTTTACGACAAGTACATATTTGTTTTGCTTTTGGTTCTATTGTTCGCCAAAGAATACGCAGAAGTAGTAATTCGACAGCGGATACGTACTTCTCAGTATTTGAGAAAGTACCTCGCTACGTTTCTCGCTAGACGACAATGTAACTAAAATAATTTTAAAACTTTCACCTTTGGTCGCAAGTTATTTCATTTTCCGATATGTCTTCTCAATTCCTATTGTTGGTTTGTGCACCTTGTGATTTTTCAGTTATTGCAGTGAATAAAAAAGTTTAAATTTAGTGCGAGACCAAAGCTTTTATCGGAACTTGCAAACTAACCAAAACTGAACAACGAATTTCTTTTTTTTTTTTTGTTCAATTACATTAGAAAAAATTGATATTGTTTTTCGGGTTTGATTCTTTCTAATTAAAGTGAAAGAGACTTTTAAAGAAGAAATATTTAGCCTTGCCACGCACCTCCTGGTCTTAACTATATATCGCGAAATGCCTTTTAGAAAAGGAAAAAAAGTAATTATGATCAGAAAGAGGAAAAAAATAAAAAAAAAGAATAATAATAAATAAATAGATAAAAAAAACTTAAAAGATTGAATTTCTTGCACAACTGGGTGCTTGCAAACCTCTATTGCTCAGTTGTTTTACGATAAAAAATCTACTATTAAATTTAAATTGGCACAATGAATAATATTATTAATGTGCGGCAAAAATTAGAAATTACAAAAAAATCAGCAAAATTGAATCGCCTTCCTCACAACAAGTTGAACGCCAATTTAATACGAAATTTCCAAAATAATAGAAATACACCAAAAAAAATCGAATTT